CATTCTTAACCCCGAAGTGCATAACTTTGCATTTCTCTACATTAAATTTCATCTGCAATTTTAGTGCCCAGTACCCCAATCTATCCAAATCCCTCTGCAGCAAGGCAATATCCTGCTCACATTTTATTACTTTACAAAGTTTTGTGTCATCTGCAAACACTGATACATGGCTTTCAATGCCTATTTCAAGATCATTTATAAATATGCTAAATAGAAGTGGCCCCAAAACAGAACCCTGAGGGACACCACTTACCACTTTTGTCCAGCCTGAAAATGTACCATTAATTACGACTCGTTGTACTCTATCCTTAAGCCAATGTTCTACCCAAGAACAAGAATATTAATCTAGACCAATTTCTTTTAGTTTGAAGACTAACCTATTGTGAGGAACCGTATCAAATGCCTTGGCAAAATCCAAGTAGATCATATCCACTGCAACACCCTGATCTATACTTCTACTTACTTCTTCGTAGAATGCAATTAGGTTAGTTTGACATGATCTATGTTTCATAAAACCATGCTGATTATTGCTAATAACAAAGTTCTTCCCAATGAATTCCTGAATATTATCCCTTAATAGCCGTTCAAATATTTTCCCAGTTACAGAAGTTAAGCTCACAGGTCTATAATTTCCAGGCAAGGATTTTGAACCCTTTTAAAATATAGGAACAACATCTGCCTTCCTCCAATCCTCCGGTACAACACCTGAAACAAAAGAATCTTGAAACATTAAATACAGAGGTTCACTTATTTCCCCACTTAGCTCCTTAACCCCTTAAGACCGGAGGGCGTACTATTACGCCCTATTCTAAGCGGCTCTAAACGCTGCCGGGCGTAATAGTACGCCCTCCGGTCTTTCGGCACGTCCGTCCTCCTCGAAGCCCCCCGGCCGTGTGAGAGTGGGGTCCTTGCGAGGACCCCACAATCACATGGCCGGGGGTAGCTGGCTGCAGCATTGCCAGCAGGGGGACTGCCTGTAATGACAGGTGGTCCCCCTGCTGGCTGAAAATAAAATTAAAATAAATAAATAGTGTAAAAAAATATATATATATACTTCGATCATATATATATATTATATATATATGATCTAAGTATATATATATACACATACACACACGTACACCGTCTAGGTGTATTTTACTATTAATATATATATTAATATCAAATTACACGTAGACTGATACTGATTAAATATATATAATTATTGTTATATATATAGTTATATATAATATAAAAAAAATAAAAATGTAAATACGTTAAAAAATAAAATTAAAAAAATAATTAAAAATAAATAATTACAAAATATATAGATGTGTGTTATTTAGTTCTAACTGTATTGTGAAATTAATATATATATATCAAAATACACGTAGAACAAATATACATAAATATATACATATATATCACTATATACATACCTATAAATAAATAAATATATTTTAAAAAAATTATATAGATATATACATATATATACACATGCGTATATATATACATATATTAATTCTACATATATATTTATGTAATATTTTTACATAATTAGGTATCTTAATTAATTACAATTAGCGGGACCTGCCTGACAACCCATGCCGAAAGTAAAGGAATTTAATTTGCTAGCACTATATTTAACCCTATAACTTTCCAAGACACCATAAAACCTGTACATGGGGGGTACTGTTCTACTCGGGAGACTTCACTGAACACAAATATTAGTGTTTCAAAACAGTAAATGTATTACAACGATGATATCGCCAGTAAAAGTGAAGTTTTTTGCATTTTTCACGCACAAACAGCATTACACGGACAATATTATTGCTGTGATACTTTTTACTGTTTTGAAACACAAATATTTTTGTTCAGCGAAGTCTCCCGAGTACAACAGTACCCCTCATGTACAGGTTTTATGGTGTTTTCAAAAGTTACAGCGCCAAATATAAGGCTTGCGTTTCATTTTTTTCACATTAAAATTCGCCAGATTGGTTACGTTGCCTTTGAGACCCTATGGCAGCCCAAGAATGAAAATTACCCCTATGATGGCATACCATTTGCAATAGTAGACAACCCAAGGTATTGCAAACAGGGTATGTCCAGTCTTTTTTAGTAGCCACTTAGTCACAAACACTGGCCAAAATTGGCGTTTTTTGCATTTTTTCACACACAAACAAATACTAACGCTAACTTTGGCCAGTGTTTGTGACCAAATGGCTACTAAAAAAGACTGGACATACCCCATTTGCAATACCTTGGGTTGTCTACTATTGCAAATGGTATGCCATTATGGGTGTATATTTCATTCCCGGGCTACTATACAGTCTCAAAGGCAACGTAACCAATCTGGCGAATTTCAATTTCAAATGTAACGTGCTATATTTGACCCTGTAACTTCCCAAAATGCCATAAAACCTGTACATAGGGGGTACTGTCTTACACGTGAGACTTAACTGAATACAAATGTGTATTTTATTGCAGTAAAAGCAAACAGTATTATGACATTGACCGTTAAAATGTCATGTAGAACTAAAAAAAAATTTTAAAAATCGGATTTTCTCCCATTTTTTTCATATTAAATTATGTTTAATAGCTAAATATTTGATATTAAATAAAAGCCCTGTTTCCCCTGAATAAAATGATATATAATAAGGGTGGGTGCATTTACTATGAAAGAGGTGAATTACGGTTGGACAGACGTAGCGCAAATGCCAGGTTTTGTTTACATTTTGTTTTGTTCACAACGTGTACATTTGGCTCCGTCCTTAAGGGGTTAAGTACTCGTCAGGCCCCGGAGCTTTATTTACATTAATTTTCTTTAATAGCTGTAGCACCTTGTCTCGCATTATCCAATCACAAGTTATTTGCAGCAATCATTTGCATATCTCTTGCCATAGGATCCTCATTAATATATACTGAAGAAAAGGTTATTTAAAATTTCTGCTTTTTCCTGGTCTTCATTAGCTAATAAACCCAACTCTGTTTCCAGTGTACCTGCACTTTCATTTTTTGTTTTTTTAGAATTGATGTACTTGAAAAAAAAAATTGGGATTGGTTTTGCTTTCTTTAGCTATCAACGTCTCATTTTCTAGTTTAGCCACTTTAATTGCCTTTTTGCAAGCGTTATTGGCTTCCTTATAGGATGCCTCTGATTTGTCTGATTTAAATGCCCTTTTCTTATTTTTAATCTCTTGTTTTACTTCTCTACTAAGCCACATTGGTTTTAATTTGTTTCTTTTATATTTATTACCCAAGGGTACATACTGAGCAATGTACCTTTCTAATATTTGTTTGAATAGTTTCCATTTATCCTCAGTGTTTTTATCACTAAGGAGTTTATGCCAGTCGATATGTTGTAGAGCTGACCTAATCTAATTGAAATTGGCTTTTTTAAAATTATATGTTTTAGTATACCCCACTTGCTTTTGCCTTTTTGAGTTTATTTCAAAAGTTACCATATTGTGATCACTATTTCCCAAATGCTCCCCTACTTGAATGTTGGTTAAAAGATCAACATTGTTTGTTATGACGAGATCCAGACACGCATCCTTTCTAGTTGGTGCTTGTACCAGTTGTGACATAAAGGTGTCATTTAACACATTCAAAAACCTGATTCCCCTTGCTGAAGTACTAGTCCCTCTATCCCAATTTATGTCCGGGTAATTAAAATCTCCAATAATTAACGTGTTACCACGATTTGCAGCTTTCTCAATTTGCTCTAACAGCTGTTCTTCCTCAATAATATTTACATTAGGTGGTTTATAACATATCCCAACCAATAATTGACTTCCCCTTGTTTGCCCCAAGCAGATATCTACCCATAAAGCCTCCACATTTTCCTCGTCACACTCCACATGCCTAAGATTTGACTTTAACTCATGGTTGACATATAAACATACCCCACCACCCGTCTTGTTTCTCCTATCCTTCCTAAATAACGTGACTTCCACCCCTCATTCTGTATAGTAGAAATTAGCCCCCCAATGTGAATAAAGGGACACTATAGTCACCTAAACAACTTTAGCTTAATGAAGCAGTTTTGGTGTATAGAACATGCCCCTGCAGCCTCACTGCTCAATCCTCTGCCATTTAGGAGTTAAATCCCTTTGTTTATGAACCCTAGTCACACCTCCCTGCATGTGACTTGCACAGCCTTCCATAAACACTTCCTGTAAAGAGAGCCCTATTTAGGCTTTCTTTATTGCAAGTTCTGTTTAATTAAGATTTTCTTATCCCCTGCTATGTTAATAGCTTGCTAGACCCTGCAAGAGCCTCCTGTATGTGATTAAAGTTCAATTTAGAGATTGAGATACAATTATTTAAGGTAAATTACATCTGTTTGAAAGTGAAACCAGTTTTTTTTTCCATGCAGGCTCTGTCAATCATAGCCAGGGGAGGTGTGGCTAGGGCTGCATAAACAGAAACAAAGTGATTTAACTCCTAAATGACAGTGAATTGAGCAGTGAAATTGCAGGGGAATGATCTATACACTAAAACTGCTTTATTTAGCTAAAGTAATTTAGGTGACTATAGTGTTCCTTTAACATTTCTAAAAAGAAATTGGTCCACCCTGCCTCTTTTTCTGGGGGGAAATTTCTCTAGATTCATGTTGAATTCAGAGACTTGGCTAGAGCAAAATACCGCCTATGTACAGTTCTTCTCTTGAACACAATCTGAACTGAGTTAAGATTATTTAGCATGACCACTACATGAGGTGTAGTATATATTATCCTAAAATAAAATCATAATATTAATAATAATAATAATAATAAACAGTAGATAGCATTTCCCAAGGATTAGTGCATTATATCAGCCACGTTCTATGTCCCAAAAGATTTTGAAGATTTTAAAAAGGCCTTTCTTCTTCTCTGTTACTTTGTACTCTTGTATATCCTTTACTAATATTACATTTCTGGTGGCACTAATGAAACTCAGAGCTCGATACATTAATTCTAGGCTAAAATAAAATCACACAATTTATAGAAATTTTTATTTTATTTATTTATTTTTTTACCCCAGAAACTCATAACACAACACAATGTTTGACACTCGTGTCAAAAGTCCTTTTTTGGTACAAATTAAAAACAAAAACCCCCCACAAAGATAGCAATTTAAAAATATCTATATATTTACATATTAATAAAATCGTATAAACACAAAATCATATACATATCTCTGTATTTATGGAATGATTCATATAACATCCTAAGGGAACATTTAATGTTATTTAAAACAGTAATCACATGTACATAAAACAAAAAGTAAAATAAACAATTAGTAGCAACTACAGAGTCATTCATTCAGATTTTACTTTTTAATGATCATTTTCGGTAATTGTACAAGCTACAGATTGACCAGGACAGGCATAAATTCCAAAGAAAAAAGGTGCAAAACTCAGATTTTTTTTTTTTTTTTGTGCATTTAAATTCAGTAAATTTTCCTACATTTATATACAACAAGATGACAACCACTCTGTCTATTAAGAAGTCTAATGTGGCAGATATGTCTGTGCTAAAAGGAGTGTGATACACAACTTACAATAAAAATTGTTGTTATCCATTAAATCATCCTTAACGCTATAAGTGTATTTTAATTATATCATGTATCTTAGTAGGCATGCTGGAAGCCAACAAGTATATATGATGAGGGGACCATAAAATATACACAGATTTCAAATGTTGCACTGTCCAGGATCCCAGTCATTAGGACCAGTTCCCTCCTGCACCCCCTTTCTTTTCAACCTTAAAGCGACACTGTCTCTTCCTTACCCCTCCCACATACAAAAAAAGTATTGTATAAAAGATCAATTTTAAAATACTCATATTGACTTGGTTGGAATTTCACTTAAATTTCAACCTAGTCAAAACATATACCGAGACAGATGTCAGTGTTTTTCCTTCGGTTGACACTTTTTGACATTGGGTGGGGTTGCTATCATCAAAAAGTGTCAATCACCTAGTCGTCACCAATGACTGTTGCAGTGAATTGGCTCTCCCAATGAAGGATCTCACGGGATCTTCCATAGACCTCAATGCTATGCAGCAGTACAGCAGTGACATCAGCTCCTGGCGCTTCAGAAGAAGACTGTCTGGAAGACTACGGCGGCTCCCGAGTGGTGGTCTAGATTTATAGAGTATATGAAATTATTCAAATTCAGCTGTAACATTCTCATTTAATAAACATTAAGTTGATTTTCACTGTCTGCTATGCCGTTTTACTTTACTGAACTAGCAAGATTTATAAGTGTATATCTTATGCTTTGACAGAATTCATTTATAAACCTTTGCTCCCACCTTTGCATAAAGAAGTGATCATTTATAAAGCCTTCTAATGAAAGCTATATAACTGCATCACACCTGGTTATTTTTAGACAGTTGCTGAAACACTATACTGTTCCTAAGACATTTGTGCCCATTTAGAAAGTTCAAGCTGACAATTCATTGAGAATCCTAAGCAGTGCAAAACATAAATGCAATGCAATAAAATATAGATCAAAATCAGTGTAAAGGTCATTTAAAGGAACACTGTAGCATTAGAAATGCAAACCTGTAGAAATTACAGGTGCCTCTGTCCCTAGTCATTTCCAGCCCCCGCTTGCAGTAAAAATATAAAAATAAAATAAAGTAAAAAAATCTTCGTGCTCACCTTTTTCCAGCGCAGAGACAATGCATTGTGGACTTGATTTGCATGAGCATTCAGTGTTTCTCAAAGAATTAAAGATAAGCTGCCATGTGACATGACCAACTTTTACTTACTTAGTCAGTGCAGTGGAAGCACCTCAAGTGGCAGTCAGGAAGACAGCAACTAGAGGTGGATTTAACCCTTTTGTGAATTTCTTTTTATTCATTATTTTCAATTGTATATGAAACCGTCGGTGTGGACACGCAGGTCCAGCATTGGTACGTTTCAAAGAGCAACGGTGGTGGTGTGCAAGTCACCAAGTAACAACAAATAACTTTTCCCGGTTGGACTCCTATAGTGTGTAAGTTTGAATAGGCCATTCCCCTTAGTTTTTAGTTGCTATAGCCTTTCTGGGTCTCCTATTGTGGCAGGGGTGGTTCGTATCCTGCTTTATAACTATTAGCGTGTTGCTCCCTACCGAGTGGGGTGGTGTTTATGTCCTGCAGGTTCAGACCTAAGGTCTTCGTTGTTGGTGGTGTTGTTGTCTACTTTTCTGGCATGAGTGGTGGTTGTTTACTCTGTCGTGGCCGTGTCTGCCAGCTGACTCTTATACCTTCATGGGTGGTGTGTTAACCCTGCCTCCCCCTTTCCTTTGCCTGACAGTGGACCCCTCTCTTGTTTCTCATTTTAGGGGTGCCCATCCGCCTAAGATCTCTTCTTCCTCCTATTCTCTCTACCGTGTCGCATCGCTGCCCGTGGGCCATTACAGAGCAGGGGGAAGGGGTGAAGGAGGGGTGGGGGGGGTAGAAGTTTTTTTTTTTTTTTGGTTTTGTTAGTCCTTTGTCTCGTCTGTTGTCCTCAGTCAGTTCAACATGTCCTGGAAGTCCGCGCGAGCAGTAGTCAGAATCCAATGTGTTCAGATCGTCATAAATGTCTGTGTCTTCCCCTCTGCCAGCAGGGAGAGAGCTCTTCTAGTGCTCTCAGCTCCTCCATGCGTTGGTACCACGTCGCTGGGGGGGGGGTCCGCTTTGTTTTTTACAGTAGAGAGGGATTAGGCTTTTGGCCACGTTAAGTATTCTGATTGTTAGGGATTTTTTGTAAGTTGATGTCTTTGTCGTGGTGTGGTGGATGAGAAATGTTGCAGGGTTCATGGGTGTTGGGGTGTCTGTGAACCTTTTTATAATCGTGTAGATGGACGTCCAGTATGGTTGGATAGTTGGGCAATCCCACCATATGTGGAGATATGTACCCGTGTGTCTTGTCCATCTCCAGCATGTATAGTCCGTCGTGGGGTCGTATGTGTGTGTGTGAAGCGGGGTACGGTACCAGAGGGCTAGGATTTTGTATGCTGTTTCCTGCGTCCCACTGGACGGTGCGCAGTGAAGTGAGAGGGTGCATATTTTCTCCCATTGGTTAGGTGTGAATGTGGTGCATAGGGCTGTTTCCCATTTCCGCATGAAGCCTGGGGGTGGTAGTCTCCTCATCCGCATGATCATGCCGTAGAGAGTGGAGAGGCCCCTGCAGATCTCTTCAAATGCCGTTAGAGGTCTTAGGGTGTGATTGTTTTGAGTGGTCACCTGTGTGAACCCTATCAGTTGTCGGTATCTGAATTGTAGCATGAATGAGTGAGTGGTGTTCCCCGTCATGGTCTCTAGTGTTTTGATGTGGCCGTTGTCCATGGCGTGGCAGAGCCTTGGTATTTCATGTCTCAGTAGTTGAACCAACGTCTTCGGTTCCCTTCCCGGTGGGAAGGCCTCATTATGTACCAGGGGGAGCATTGGGGGCGGTGTGGTGGTAAGTGAGAGTGGTGCAGCCATTGCTTGCCACACCTGTATGGTTGCTTTAATTAGGGGGTGTGGGGCTGCCAGTTGCCTACCTTTTTGATGGTCCAGCCAGGGGAGGACCGCTATCGGTTTCTCCACTTGTGCTGACTCAACATCCTTCCAAAGTTTTGTCACTCCCTGTTTGGTCCACTCCACCATCCTTTGGATGTGTGTGGCCCTATGATATCTCTTAAAATCTGGCAGGGCTAGACCTCCCTTGACTTTCGGCAGTGTGAGAACGTCGTGTTTTATCCTAGATTTAACCCTTTTAATGCCATGTAAACATTACATTTTAGAAAAAAAACTACAATGCTTTACTTTGCAGGGTTAAAATGACAGGACCGCTGCACTCTGACCATTTCATTGAGATGAAGGGGTTGGGGTGACATCAGTGGTCCTTTAACTCTAGGTTCCTTTTATGGGAGCATTTAAAGAGGGCGTACTGACAATTACAATCTTTCGGATAGTTTTTTTAAAAATGGAATGTTTTACAGTAAGATGCACAGTGGTTCACTACAGCATATATCTGTCATCATATAAAGCCCAATATGCATACATACATATGTTTATACATATAAAAATATAGATTTCAAAGATTGGAATATTTAAATAAACATAATGTTATCAATACACTACTTCACATATTAAAAGGGTTTCTGCGTTCTCTTTCTACAAACATTTTGCGTAAAGTATATAACAGTCACAGTGCATCCAATATATTGATAATAAATGCGTGGAAAGTGCTAAATTATAACCCATCATTAATCTTTTTCTGTCTGTATGGCAGATAAACCTTTACATAATTCACTCTGCTGATAAAGCGTTGTGCTGCAGTGACTACTTTAGGAGCAATCTTAACTTTGTTTTATACCCAAACACCCAGACTAAACCAGGAACCATGATGTCCTGTCTAGGGAACTTTAAATTGTATGCCCAAGTAGCTGAGCTGGAAAAATTCTATAACACAGCTAATCTCAGATATTTGCGAGACCTATGCTTGCATCCTGGTTGAAGTGGGTGTCATATGAGACGTAATCAAAACCTGGAGATTTAATACAGGAGAAATCTTCTTTTTTTTTTTTTTTTTTAAATGTAGATTGGATTAGCTGTATTAGCCCAGTAGACAGGATGCCAAAATAACCAGAGTATTGCTGTATGCAATGATACCTGTTTTTTGGACTAACATAATATTTAAAAGAAATGCGTGCATGCACGTGTGAACTAATTCAGAGGCTTTTAAATGATAAGTTTAATTATTTATTTTTTGCTTATTTGGGCAGCAGAGTGTTCCTTTAAACAGTGTTTGTTCATTCACTCTGGAGTTTTTCTTTCAAGACTTGATATAAGGTCTGTTTAGGAAAGGTAAATTTTCTGCTACTTCTACTACTAGAACGTGCAGCGTGGTAAATATTATTTACAATAAAGAGTATGGGTTTCTGATTAAATTGATCTGACATAGTTTCTGGAAAAGTTATTCATTTTCTATGTAAATGTACATCTCAAACAATAGTGAAAACATACTGGATACCGCAGTCATCAAGTAACCTTGGTGCTCCGACACCAGGGCTGGCCAAGCCCTCCTTCCAGAAATATATAGAATAAATAATGGTTTGGGCACTCCAGGATAACAGAAAATAGCTGCTTTTTTGGGGCTGCTATTTTCTGTTATGCCAGAGTGCCCAAACTATTATTTAGTCTATATATATCTCAAACAATGGCCAGAAAGAGAAATTATTATTATTATTTTTTTTAAATCACAAAAACCAAGGGAAACAAACCATAAATTAAACAAAAATATAAATCTCTAATAAAAAGATTAAACCATGTTTCATTCTTAAAGACAGACGTTATACAACACAATTCTTCCGCTCTAGAGACAGGTGAGGCTGCTGCACTTTGGTTTTGCAATTATTTCATCCACATTTAAATAATGAGGAATATCTACTTATGACACATGAGCTCTTTTAAAACGGTAGAAGCAAGCAATGGAACATTAATTTTTGTTTTTCTTGTTTTTAAGAATAGTTTTGCTATAAATTTTAAGAATTATTTCAAAAGAATGTATTTAGAGTATCATGTTCAAATTTTTCACATGTATTTTTGTATGTGTACCTTTATATATTAGCTTTTGAAGAAAAAAAATCTTTTTTTTTTTTAAATCTTGACAGTCTGAGAACATTGCACACACCTCAAACAAAAGCCACAAGCAAGTTTGTGTGAACTTAAAAGGGCAGCATAGTGTCAGGATTAGCTGACACTAATCAGACCTCCTAACAAGACAATGATCCCACGCATATCTCAAATTCCACCAAGGCTTTGTTTTTCGATTTTGTTCTATGCATTCTGCCCAAGAGTAGTGAGAGCTTGGGCGCAGAGCTTAATTTTGTTGGATCCATATTTTCAGTATGGAAGGCTATGTACAGTTAAAAGAATTGTGTTAAACTAAACACAGCCACACTTCAACCAAAATTTAACTTCCACCATAACACAACATGGGAAATAATCCTACCTGATTAAATAAAATAAAAAAACAACTGTGTCCACTGCTTCCCCTCACCACATTCTGAAAGAGGCTTCTATTGCAATTTGGCAAACACATTTTTTGCTGCTTCTATAAATGTTACAGTAACATGCTCTGGGCTTTGTAATACAATGATACAACGTGTGGCAGAACATCAAGGTGGACAGGGGAGCAGGTTATCCTGCAGAGATCGTTTACATTTCAAACACTAGAATGGGGACGTTACTCCGCATTCTGTTTTCTCCTTTGCAATCCAAAGGTTAGGTTATATGAAAAAGGATTTCTAAATATTTAAGGTGTATGTTTATCTAGATCAGGGGTAAGCAACCTTCAGCGCTCCAGGTATTGTGGACTATATCTCCCATAATGCTCTCACAGCCATAATGCTGGCAATGCTTTAGGAGAGATATAGTCCACAACATCTGCTTACCCTAATCAAGATGCTCAACATTGTAGACTAAAAAGGACTAATAGTGTGTGAAGTGAATAGGTCTATATTCTTGCTTTATGTTGTTTGTGTATTACAACAAGATGCTTACAACACAAAAGGGGGCTGCAGCGGAGTATCTAATAATATGAACTATATATGTTTAAGTAGTATTTCTCCTTAAAACAATATTTACCAGGTAATATCAGACCTTTGAAAGAATATTCCTCTCTGATGTTAATTTTCACCCCAACAATAAATATCATAAAATCAACAAAAATAATGTGCTCTTAATATCCCCCACAGATAACACAGATAATCTCCTCCTTGAAGTCAAATACCTGAAGACTTTATGCTAAGATGAAGATGAGTGAAGCTATTCTTTTCTTCAATATTGCCATTATACATCTCCACCTTTGGCCAGTCTCTTGGCACCAGTACCGTTACTGATGCGCACTATAACTACTAGTCAAGGTAATTTGAGAATTGCAGTAGGAACACAACAAGTACAACATCTACACAGTGTGTTATGTTTTCCAGTTAGACCTCAGGTAAATAATAAAAAAATAAACTCTGCAGAAAGTGTTTGGAATTGTAGTCTTCAAGGTGAAACATTTCTGACTTTGACACTTCTCATTGGGGTGATCGTCTGGTGTCTGCCTTAGAGCTGAAACCCAGCCTTAGAATGGAGCCACAAGTCTTCATCAGCAATGACTAGTGGTTTACCTAGAGAACCAGAAGTAGGAATTACATGATTTAACTGCTACATTCAGATTGCACAAATTCACAACAGCATAAATGTTACTCTCTACACACAGTAAATCATGCCATAATTAAACATTAACACTCTAGTCAGGTGTGCCCAAAAGGTAGACCAGCCGATGTTGTAGAATTACAACTTCCATGATGCTTTGAATGCCTTTAGAATTGGAATCACGAAACATCATGGAAGCTGTAGTTTTAAAACATCTGGGGATTTACTTTTTGGGCACCACAACTCTAGAAGGATTATCTAAAGTACTGTTGGCTAGTATTACTAACAAAGGAGAGCAGTCTGGAAGTCAAGAGGGTCCTTTCTAGAAAATCTGTGATGTAGGGCAACAGGTACACAACAAAAGAGATTACAGATATCAGCTGACTCCAACTCCCATCAACCTTTAATGCCCAAAAACACAGCAAGTGAATGGCAATGATTTATGGAGTTATGGAGCCAGTTTATATTTAAAAGCCTCGTTTTAGATTAAATCTGTATTATATGTAAACTTGGTAATTTATGTGCACATTATAGAATGATTATATTAAAAGTAGAGATTTTAACCTGCTAACCTTGGAGGAAATACAATAGATAACATGGATAACATGCATGTCGCTAAAATAATGACATACTTAAATTTAATTCCTGCTCTTAACATGAATTTACAAACATATCTTAATTATAAAAAATAATATTTGGATAAACTGCTCAAAAAATGTATAACTGATTATGTGCACTGCTTCATTTTGCACTTGAATGACATGATCGCCTTGGTTGTTTTTAAGCAGTACATGTTCAATAATATAAGCAAATAAAATAGTGAATTCAAGCTTACCTGGACATTTTTGCCCTCTAGTCCTCTATGTCAAATCCCCTGAATGTTCCGCCCTAAACAGTATGACAGGAAAAGGGTGTTGGTGTAAAACAGGGACAGACAACCTTTGCCTTGTCAGCTGTTGAAGGCCTACATTCTCCATGAACCTGTGCTAGATTATGTTGTCAGAGGAGCATGGAAGTTGTGGTCCATTAAAAGCTGGAAAGCAAGAGGTTACCCACAACTGGGGTACCTGGACACCCTCCATTCCTAATAAATTTCTAATAAATCGTTGGGCAGACCATGGGCTAATGAGTAACATAAATACGTAATCATTTATTAGCTGAAACATTTTGTATGCAGCTCCTTTTTGGCACGTCCAATACTTAATAAAGTGCAAAAAGGTGCAGTTATATACTTGTACATTGTGCTGGTTTTCAGCTACACTATTCTATACTTTTAACTGCATTGATGCTGTGAGAGAAAGGAAAATTAGGAAAATACACAATTTTGTATTTGGCATCTATCAACACAGATCTAAATTGGATGACGTGTTATCAAGATAATCAACATTAATAATAACTGTATCAAAAGACTATGAAAAATAATGATTTGAGCCAAGGGGGTAGGGGGAAGAGGAAGTATTTGGAAGAAAAGTAGGAATGCTAATGAAATTGGAGGGTGGGTGAAGGATAATGAAATGAAAAATCAGAGGGATTGCAATGAATAATGAAACGAGAAAACTCCACAGACATTAGTGATGTACTCTTTCACATATGGGAGAGTACAGCACTGATGTGGTCTCTTGGCGGCTGAAGCACCAGGAGCTGAAGATTGAAGATGGCAGCACCTGCTGAGGACAGCATCAGGTAAGTACTCTACTCCTACTGCACCCGCGGGCCACCAAACTCTAAGTAGCGGTCACCTTTGGGGGTTTTCGCAAAATGCATAAAGACCCCAGAAAATCTCAGAGCCACTCTAAGTATTATCTTATATAATTTTTCAGGTAGACATTTTTAGATGTTAGGTGGTTTCCATTGAATATTATTACCAATCAATTAAGTATGATGATAAATATTAGTCAATTCTAGGGTGGAGGATAAGATATGCAGGGGTATTTACTAAATTGAGGTGGGGACCAGTATCATTTAAATGGGGATCCTACAGCAACTGCATTATTCACCAAAGTGAGAATTGCTGGGAATTCAAAATGAATTTAAATATTTAGGCCAAAGTTAGCATTCGTATAATTCTCCAAGTCATTTCTGTGTTCAGTAATGCTATTTAGACCTTACATTTGAAATTCAATTAAATTCCTTGTCATTTTGATGAATAATGACGTTGGTAAATGATATTTGTCCCCACCTCAAATAGTATATAACTTCTGACAGGATACCTTAAATTCTTCAAGTCTCATGTAACAGAAGTTTCTTAAAGGGCAAAAGAAATGTAAAATAGAAAAATAGTTATATGATGCAAAAAGAACAAAACAAAAATGTGACATATCCACTTTAAAACGGTGATATCCCGGGGGCGTGGCTAGCAGAGCAGCACACAGGACGTGTTTATGTGGAGCTCCTGCTTCACTAATCTAAAATTGACCCAAAAGCCACGAATACATCAAACTGAGACTCCAAAAGCCAAGCAATAACAAGCATTAGACCCCCTACAGAGAGATGGGAAAAAAAAACAAGAAAATCGCCCGCCTAGAAAGCTCACACCAACCTGACATTAGGCGATCTTTTGAAAAGCCACAGCAGGCTCCACAGACCAAGATGGCGCCGAGTAGGCCCCGAAACGCCAGCGAGTCCGACTCATCTATGGAGGAGGAGAACTTCCAGAACGCGACCCCAGCCACCGCATTATACCGGTCGGAGACGTCGGACTCTGACGACTCGCCTTCAACAAAGGGCGACATCAAAAAGCTCCTCCTGGACCTCCGGGAGATGTGGAGGTCAGACCTGGCCGGCGTGAGGACAGAAGTGGCCGACATGAAGGGGCGCCTGGAGGCAGTGGAAACCCGAGAAGGCCAAAGAGACGCCTTATTGACCGACTACAGAAGGCAAACTGACGCACTGACACTCCAACTCCAAAGACTCACCCGCACAGTCACGGAGATAGAGATGCGCCACCGCAGAAG